CACAACCGGGGGGGGGGGGGGGGGTTTCAAGCCATCGTGGAAGGGCCTAAGTCCCCCCCCCCGTCTCTTTAACATTTACGGCCCCTCCCTGGGCAAACCCCCACCTTGCTTGTGCAGTGTACTTAGAATACACTCCAGATTTTTCTTTTTTATTATTATTATATTATTATATTATTATTATATAATAATATAAAAGTTGCTGCAGGTTTACAGAATCGATCATTTCCATAATTGTACAAGTACACAAAAAGTGAGGAAGTTAGAATATTGAGAGGGGGGTTGCTTTTTAGGCTATTGTGAGATAGAACGGTTAAATATTATAGGCAGTCCCCAAGTTACAAACAAGATAGGTTCTGTAGGTTTGTTCTTAAGTTGAATTTGTTTGTAATTCAGAACAGGTACAATTTAAGTGTAAACTTGCAAAGCTGCTGAACTTGCTGACCGAAAGGTTGGTGGTTCAAATCCAGACAGCAGGGTGAGCTCCCACTGTTAGGCCCAGCTTCTGCCAACCTAGCAGTTGGAAAACATGCAAATGTGAGTATACTCACATAGATCAATAGCTACTGCTTCTGCAGGAAGGTAGTGGCGCTCCATGCAGTCATGCTGGCCACATGACGTTGGAGGTGTCTATGGACAATGCCAGCTCTTTGGCTTAGAAATGGAGATGAGCACCACCCCCCAGAATTGAACTTGACTAGACTTAATGTCAGGGGAAACGTTTACCTGTACCTAACTCCAGCCACAATTATATAGAGAGAGAGCTTTGGATCTAAAGATTTCACTTTCTTTCCCTGTGAGAATTAGATTTTGAGAAATTTGGCTTGTTATGGAAATGATTTGAGAAAAAACTTCAGCGGAGACCTCTTTTCCCCATGATAATAACTCTTTCAAGAGTGAAGTTTCCTTCCAAAGGCAGCTTTCTCTCACTTCTTGTTGTCTCAACCTTGTTCTTAACTATGGGTCATTTGTTTGTAGCTTGAGGACTGCCTATAATGCTTTTCAGACTCTGGAGAAATATGTTAAAGGTCAAAAACTGGCTTAATAGAGGACCTCTTTGTAAAGTACGGTTTTGCTGTGTATAGTGAACTTTAGAATGTAATAATTTTGTTATTTTCCAAGATTTTAAAAGATGTTTTCCCCTTCACAAATATTAATATTTAATTGCATTTACATGATGAACTTGTTTTTCTGGTAGAGCACTGTTTACCTCACTTCTTATACATTATTTTGTTACTTTGTTAGTGAAACATAATAATATGGAAAAAACAACAACCCACTGGCCCTTTTCAACTGTTTTACCCCATTGTGGTGTGACACAGCTGGAAATATCCATTGTCTGTTAAGACATGCATACTGTAAGACAGTGGTTCTCAACCTGTGGGTCCCCTGGCGCTTTGGCCTACAATTCCCAGAAATCCCATCCAGTTTACCAAATTGTTAGGATTTGTGGGAGTTGAAGGCCAAAACATCTGGGGACATACAGGTTGAGAACCACTGCTGTAAGAAGACCGTGTTTTCTGCTCTGGAAAGTTGTAGAAACTCAATTGTGACTATTATTATCCTAGATGCTGGTCTTGTTTACATCAGAAATATTGTTGTTGTTTTGGAGGACATTGCAAAGGGAGACCACAGTTAATGCCCAATAGACTGCTATACCTGGATTGGATTTTCCCCCAAAATCTCTGTGGTTTTGGTGTGCTCCAATTAAAAGGTGTGTATATTTGAATTACCATATTTCTTCAATTGTTAAGACCAGGGGTCCTCAAAGTACGGCCCTCCAAGGTCATTTACCCAGCCCTCGCTCAGGGTCAGCCTAAGTCTGAAACGATTTGAAAGCACACAACAACAACAATAATAAACTTTGGGTTCTTGTAGGTTTTTTCAGGCTATATGGCCATGGTCTAGAGGCATTCTCTCCTGATGTTTCGCCCGAAAAAACCTACAACAACCTAGTGATTCCGGCCATGAAAGCTTTCGACAATACAATAATAAATTTTATTTATACCCCTCCACCATCTTCCCAATGGGGACTCGGAGCGGCTTACATGGGGCCAAGCCCGGACAACATATTACAACAAGATAAAACCAGAGCATAAACAATAAACAACATCATCAAAATTACATAAAAGGGGAAAAAATATAAACACAGTCATAAAGTAACATTCCAATAGGCACAATCACAATAACAATGGGCTGGCAACATGTACAGGATAAAACGATTAAGGACTCTAATGAGATAAAAACAGGAACAAGTTATTTGCAGGGAACTCATAAAAACACACACAGTTGTGAAGCTAAACTTCCCATTTGGAGGGCATGTATTCCAGTGGGAAGAGCGTTGAGGGTTACAATGGTGTCATATTGTGCACCTACTCGCCAAAGGCGCAGCGGAAGAGCCAGGTTTTAAGGTTCTTTTTTAACATTTCTAGAGAAGGGGCTTTCTTGATCCCTCCAGGTAATGGGTTCCAAAGTTGGGGAGTCACAGAGGAGAAGGCTCTCTCCCTTATCTCCACAAGACGAGCTTGTGAGATTGGTAGGGGTGAAAGGAGGACCTCCCCCTAAGATCTAAGGGCCCGGGTTGGTACGTGGAGAGAGATATGGTCACAAAGGTAGGCGGGTCTCAAACCCTATCAAACAATCCTATCTCATCAGCCAAAAGCAGGACCACACTTCCCAATGAAATACTAATAAGTTTATATTTGTTTAAATTGTTCTTCATTTTAATTATTGTATTGTTCTAAAGTGTTTTTTGCACTACAAACAAGATACGTGCACTGTGCATAGGAATTCATTCATTTTTTTTCTAAATTATAATCCGGCCCTCAAACAGTTTGAGGGACTATGACCTGGCCCTCTGTTTAAAATGTTTGTGGACCCCTGGTTAAGACCATCAATGGTGAGACACACCAACATTAACAAAAAGATGGTACATAATATACACCTGCGATTCTAAGACACAACCCAACTTTAGAGATGGTTATCTGGGGGGGGGGGGGGGGGGGGAGTGAATCTTAGAATTGAGGAAATGCAGTATTACCGTATAGAATCATAGAATCAAAGAGTTGGAAGAGACCTCATGGGCCATCCAGTCCAACCCCCTACCAAGAAGCAGGAATGTTGTATTCAAATCACCCCTGACAGATGGCCATCCAGCCTCTGTTTAAAAGCTTCCAAAGAAGGAGCCTCCACCACACTCCGGGGCAGAGAGTTCCACTGCTGAACGGCTCTCACAGTCAGGAAGTTCTTCCTCATTTATTTATTATTTATTTATTTATTTACTTCATTTGTTGTTCAGATGGAATCTCCTCTCTTGTAGTTTGAAGCCATTGTTCCGCATCCTAGTCTCCAAGGAAACAGAAAACAAGCTTGCTCCTTCTCCCTGTGGCTTCCTCTCACATATTTATACATGGCTATCATATCTCCTCTCAGCCTTCTCTTCTTCAGGCTAAACATTCCCAGCTCTTAAGCCGCTCCTCATAGGGCTTGTTCTCCAGACCCTTGATCATTTTAGTCTCCCTCCTCTGGACACATTCCAGCTTGTCAATATCTCTCTTCAATTGTGGTGCCCAGAATTGGACACAATATTCCAGGTGTGGTCTAACCAAAGCAGAATAGAGGGGTAGCATTACTTCCCTAGATCTAGACACTATGCTCCTATTGATGCAGGCCAAAATCCCATTGGCTTTTTTTGCCGCCACATCACATTGTTGGCTCATGTTTAACTTGTTGTCCACAAGGACTCCAAGATCTTTTTCACACGTACTGCTCTCGAGCCAGGCGTCCCCCATTCTGTATCTTTGCATTTCGTTTTTCCTGCCAAAGTGGAGTATCTTGCATTTGTCACTGTTGAACTTCATTTTGTTAGTTTCGGCCCATCTCTCTAATCTGTCAAGATCGTTTTGAATCCTGCTCCTGTCCTCTGGAGTTGGCTCTCCCTCCCAATTCGGTGTCGTCTGCAAACTTGATGATCATGCCTTCTAGCCCTTCATCTAAGTCATCAATAAAGATGTTGAACAGGACCAAGACAGAACCCTGCGGCACTCCACTTGTCACTTCTTTCCAAGATGAAGAGGAAGCATTGGGGAGCACCCTCTGGGTTCGTCCATTTAACCAATTACAGATCCACCTCACCGTAGTTTTGCCTAGCCCACATTGGACTAGTTTTTTGCCAGAAGGTCATGGGGGACCTTGTCGAAGGCCTTACTGAAATCCAGGTACGCTACATCCATGGCATTCCCTGCATCTACCCAGCTTGTAACTCTCTCGAAAAAAGAAGAGATTAGTCTGGCATGACTTGTTTTTGATAAATCCATGTTGCCTATTAGCGATGACTGCATTTGTTTCTAAGTGTTTGCAGACCGCTTCCTTAAAAATCTTTTCCAGAGTCTTGCCTGGTATCGACGTGAGGCTGACCGGACGGTAATTGTTTGGGTCATCCTTTTTTCCCTTCTTGAAGATTGGGACCACACTAGCTCTCCTCCAATCTGCTGGAACTTCTCCCGTTCTCCAAGAACTCTCAAAGATGATTGCCAATGGTTCCGAAATGACTTCCGCTAGTTCCTTCAGTACTCTTGGGTGTAGTTGATCTGGCCCTGGGGATTTGAACTCATTTAGAGTGGCCAGGTATTCCTGGACGACTTGTTTCCCAATTTGGGGTTGGATGTCCTCTAATCCCTCATCCACTCCATCTTGCTGAGGTTGAAGATGACTTTCTTTTTTTGAGAAGACCGAGGCAAAGAAGGCATTAAGTAGTTCTGCCTTTTCCCTACCGCCTGTCAGCATTGCCCCATCTTCTCCTCGAAGAGGCCCTATCGCCTCCTTGTTTTTCCTTTTTCTACTGACATAAGAAAAAGCCCTTTTTATTGTTTTTAATGTCCCTGGCAAGCCTGAGCTCATTTTGTGCTTTAGCCTTGCGGACCTTTTCCCTACAGGTGTTGGCTATTTGTTTGAATTCTTCTTTGGTGATTTCTCCTTTTTTCCACTTCTTGTGCATGTCTCTT